GTGCAGGTGAGCAGCAGAGATGGTAAACTGGGGGATGGAATTACACTGCAGTAACTGTCTCTGTAGCCTTAAAGATTGATCGTGTCTGATCATTTGTGTCCCTTTTGCAGTCCTGAGCTGTGGTCTGTAAGGCTGCCCTGCTCCCGTGCTTTGCTGAGTTGGGCTTGAATGTTTCAAGCAGTAGAGCTCCAACTGTTTGCTGTGATAGATTCGCTCCATCCTGATGTGTGCTGGTGTTCACGTTTTCCCTTTCAAAAGAAAAGGTGATTTCTGTTGCTTCTTTGATAGAGGTGTGTTAGTATTGGCACTGGCATGGTTTAGCCTGTATTGTTTCATTGGGTGGGGTTGGGGAGAGGGGAGAGGAGATATAACTGGGTAATTGGATTCAGGGATGATTGTGCTGCTGTGGTAGGTTTTACTGGATGAAGCAGCTTGTTGCGATAGGTGTCTGTTTCAGCTTCTCTCTGCAGGTGTGACTAGATAAGGATGGTCTATCATGTTGATGATTTCATTGTTTGATTTGGCTGGACTGGGTGGAGAATGTAGCTGCATTGTTTGGGACTAGCTTTGTAGTTTGATTTTGTTGAAGTGGATTACATGGCAGCACATTGCTACATTATTAAGGGGAAGCTGCAGTAGATAATAGTTGGAGAATGTTGGAGGGAAGAGAATATGCACAGGGTTTCACAACGCGTAACTAATTGAGCCTTGCAACAGCTCCTGTGTTCCTGTTGGGAGATCTGGTCAGCAGAATGCATTGGGATCACACAAAAAACCTCTGGTAGTGATTTATTTTGCAGTTGTAGTTTAACTGCAAGGCTGTCCATGCTGTGTAAATAGCTGAGAGTGCTCTGAGAGACCAGGCAGGCCCCGACAGTGTCAATGTTGTCTGGATTCATACTGTTCTTGTAGCCTCTTCAGTCTTCACAGTGGGTGAGGGAGAAGCTGGCAGGTAGCTACTCTGTCTTTACTGACCTCAAATTTACCATTAAGCCATTCTGAAGAGCCTGCGTTTCCTTGTATTACTGAACTTTTTGTCACTTAAACTTGCTTTAACATGTGAGTAAGGGTTGTCTCCATTACTGAAAGTGTGTCTGATTGGTTTTTGGGCTGTAAACTCTTTTGGCCTTATGGGAGATAACCATAGTGCAAGGTGGGGCTAACCCCTCTATCTTGAGCAAACTTGCAGTATGTCTTACTTGGGAAGGTTTGCGGTTGGATTCCCTTCTCCCTGTAGTGTAGCACGATGATGTGAAGTAGGAGCTGGCAGACAGTAGATTGTGCTTCTTCCTTCTAAAACCTGCCTAGTTTCCCCTAGATGTGATTGCCTGGCTTTACCTGATGCTTGATGTTTTTATTTGTATGTTGTCTGGCTGTGGAGGAGGTTACATATACGAAGCACAGGGGTTTGGCAGATGTTGCTGGGCACGTAGTGAGGGGAAGGTGAGCCTTTGAAGAGAGATGGGTGCAGAGAAGGGGAGGTTAGACATCCAAGCTTTGTGCCAGCTTCTCTAAACACGGGTGAGCTCATGGGAATCCAGCTAGCTCAAATGTGGGAGTTCTAAAGCAGGTCTGACCTATTTCCCCTCCATGTGCAGCACACATCTTCAGACTCTTCCAGTCTGATAGTGGCTTTTTCAGTGCTGACAAATCTTGCCAATCTGAGCAGCGCTTCCCCTTGTCAGTGCTTCAGAGCAAGTTTTGATTCCTCTGCTTCTGTGGCTGGATGCATGGGAGGGATGCACGGCTTGGCTGTGTATTCTTGTTGGTGAAACTCTTCCTCTCTCTTCTTTTTCCAGGTGATCTTTTCTTGTGAGACGAGTGGTTCACAACTCATGGCCTCCACAATGAATACTGCAGTGTCGTGACACCAGGGGTCTTGGTAAGCTACTTGTTGGAAAGGCGAGGACCTATCATATCTCCACAAATGCAGGTCTATCTCTTTTGTCTCTGCAATTGAGGTTTGAAGTAATTTTAAGCTATCTAAATTGTAAGCTGCAACCAAGTGGGGTGAGGCTACTTTTCACCTGTTCTCACCTCCTCCTTTGAGCTTGCAGTGGCACTGATGTGGTTGCATGATCAACCAGAACAGGGGACTAATCCAGCTGAACAGAGATTTCTGCTGTTTCCCTTGGGTTAGTTCCCATTCAGATCTTTCCCTGATCTGATGAGAATGAGTAGCTAGTTGAATGATCCTTTTCCTGCAGCTGTTGCCTGGCATACCTTAAAGCAACCCTGAAAATACAGCCTTGGATGTAGCTTGCCAAAATGTCTCAAAGTGGCTTGACCATTCACTGTCAGTGACCCTACCTCTAGTTTTAGAGCAATGATAAAGGCTTTGCTATGACAGGTAGACCCCAGCTGCAAAGATGCATTTCTCTAGAGCTTTTCTATTATTGAGCCCTAGATTCCCAGACATATGTATGTTAGAAGTGCATTAGAAAAATCATGAGGCATTCCATTTCACATTATAAAAGATGGTACATTCCCAGTGTGCAGAAATGAGAATTGGAGGAAGTTGAGTTGCCATTGTTCCACCAGTGAATATATTGATGTATCCTTTATAGCTCTCTCTGGTAAGGAGAAATTTAAACTGAGATTGGAAAATACAGTTCCCTTGCAGAGCACATCGATTCTAATAGATGGAAGATACATGCATGTAGGATAATAAAGTAGGGTTAAAAATTTGGAGTTTTTTTCTTCCCTGTGAAGAACCTGAAAGTTTGGTGACATCAGAAATATTGCGCAGCCAGTGTGTTCCTGATTCTGTTCTTCATGTTTTCTCATTGCACTGTGCAAGACAGGGAGTCTGAGAAAATTCTCATCTTGTAATAAAAGTAACATGATAATGCGTAAATATCAGAAGTAGGAAACTGGAGGGTGAAACAACTAGAATACTTAAGTTCATCACACAGACATCTACATTCTGCTTTTAGCATTGAGGTCTGCTTACTTTAATGCTATTATTACTTTTTTCTTTTATCTGAAATTCACTGTATTTTCAGTCACACCTGCACGTTAAGTGAGGACCCCAAAGTATCACTGAGTTCCACTGACTTTTACATAAATCCCTTAACGAACATAGGAGCCAAATTTGCACGCAAAGATGGTACAATTTACATACTTGTGAAGATGTTGTCTCTTGTCTTTAATGTATCTGTACAGCACCAGCTCCAATTACAGCATGATAGTAGTAACAATAGTAATAGAGTAACTCCAACATTGTTCTCAAAATCAGTGGGATAACCAGCTGATAGCCCCAGAAAGGCATGTGGATCCTGTGGAGTGTATGGCACAGACTGGATTTCATCTGATTGTGCCTGATAGGAGGCATTAAAAATGAGAACTTTATTGAAGAAACATTCCCTTCATTAATGGGTTTGTGCAGCACAAATAGGGAACAAGAGAGAACAGGGAACAAGATGATTTCTCTGGCTCCTGAAGGAGGCATGTGGTAGACATGAGAATTTTTGGAGATGATGCAGAGCTTCATGGAACAATGGCAACGTGGAGCACTATTATGTTAAAGTACAGCAGTGCAAAGTCACTAAAAAGTGTAACGGCACAACCTCACAACAAGATAAATTTGGGGAACTGGAAAACCATGGTGCTCAATACTACAAGTTACTGATAACTCTCCTTGGCCAGAGGTGGTCATACAGTGCCTGTGTTTCTTAACTCTCTGGTGTCAGTGCATAAGCAAACCAAGTTTTGTTTTCTAAATGCAGTTTGAACAGGAGTTTCTTCCCAAAATTCAAGACACAGTCTGAGGTTTATTTTGTTTCATTTGATATACACAGGAGGAAACTGTTTCTTTGGTGCTGAGAAGGAATACCAGGAATATTTACATTTGAGTAATATTTAACTAGCAATGCTTAATACATTAACAATAAATCTTGGTTAGATTCTAAATTAAGTGGATTTGCATCTGAGTAGGTGAGATGAACAGGAGAGATTTTGTTGAAACATAAACAAGACAGAAATTTGTTCCAAAATAATTTAGCCCAAAGGATGTAAACAGTAATGTTCAATAGTTTCCTCCTCCAGAAACAGTTTTATGTGCCTTATTGCCTGCGTCATGCATATTGTTTCTTAGAAAGAAGCCGAAAAAAATGCTTATTTTTTGGGTCGGGTGGTTTTTTTTGTTTTTTTGGGGGGGGGGGGGGTTTAAAGCCTCAATAGTCTGAATAGTGTTGCTGAGCAAATTTAGAGGGGTAGTTCTCTAGTGATCTTTTGGCATTTCTAATAGATATAATGAGTGACTAACCTCTGGTATTTTTGGAGTAATCACAGCATAGCTGGTTGCTTACGGGTGGTCAGGAAGGCATTTTATTTGATTTTATGTCCCTCCCTTTGTGCAACCCTTAGCACACATCATTGAACATATGTCTAGTTATATTGGACCAAGGAGACAAAAGATTTGAGCAGAGTTTATGTTCTTAAGAAATATCAGATTACAGCCACTCACAGGGGAATTCTGGATAGCTAAGTCATGTTGGGGATTTGTAATTTTGGCTTACTACTGACTTGCTGTGAGGTGTCTTCAAGCTGAACACAGATGCGGAATCAAAGTGTCCAGATATGAGGGAGGGGCTTCCCTGTTTTGTTGACTCCAGAGTGATTTGCTTTGGGTGAAGGGAAGATGGCCACACTGCCTGTAAACTGAGTGGCCAGTCAGGGCTGCCTCTGGTTTGAAATACACAGCTGTACTGAGCCATCTGAAAGCTCTTCTCCTGTGTCTTCTCAGTAATAGGGGAAGAACTGCCATTTACTGCTTTACACCAGACACATCTGCTTGGAAAGTTCCTCACTGGCTTTCTGTTCTCTTCTTGTGGGGTGGTTTTAACAGTGTGCCCTGGAGATGCGAGACTTCCCCTGGGCAGCAGGAGGCAAACGTCTAGAGAATGCTGGAGCTGCAGGAGGGAAGCGCCCAGTGCAAAACCAGAGAGGAGCAAAGAGAAAAAAGGCAAGCAGACAGCCAGCATTGAGAGAAGCAGGTGGCAGAAAGTGCTTTGACGCTGCCTCTGGCGGCACACTCCCCAGAGGAACTTGACGAGAGTCCATCTGCGTGCGTGTGAGACTGTGAGCTCAGGATTTCTGTCAATGCATTCCAGTAACCCCAAAGTGAGGAACTCCCCATCAGGCAACACGCAGAGGTAAGGAGAAAAGCCTGCAGTCAGCTGCTCTGGATTGGTGCATGATGCTGTCCCTGCTCTGCTGCAGGATTAGCCAAGGACTGGTGCATGTGACTTGCTGGTCCTCCTCTGTGCTCCCATCAGACCCACCAAGTACCTGAGTGCTGGCTGCACAGTGCTGATGAGCCTCCATGTTTGCTAGGCTTAGGGTGAGCTGAAAGCTGTAAACCTGTGAGGTGTGGATTCTCCATTCCTTGTGCCCTTCTCCCTCCCATCAGGTGTTTGAATAGGCTGTAGGAGAGTAAACATGCTGTTTCTATCTGTTTTTTGTTTCTTTCTTCCCCCTCTCCTAATTATCTGTTTCCCCGAGGGGTAGTTGGGCAGCAGAAGGTCTCTCTGTACCTTCACACAAAATGCTTCCTCTGTATTATTGGCCTGAATGGTCTGGAGAACTGATCAGCTGTGCACTGAGATCCTCTGCATCATTCACCTGCCAGTGCAGCAGGTCAGCATCTCTCCTCTGCTAATTTGGAAGGGGAAAAATATGGAAGCAAAACAGTGTCCAGGGATTTAAAATGGTCTGATTGACAGCATTCTCAAGTTTGATTATTTACTCCTAGAGGTCATCTGGAGCTTAAGAGTAATTCAGAGGGAATGCCTCTGGGTCAGATGTCTGTCCAAAGGAGGAAACAGCTTGTGTGAGTCCCATAGTGAGGATCCTAGCAAGCACTGCATGCTGGAAATGGTAGTGATGATGGGAAAACACAATGCAGAAGATCTGATAGCAACAGAGTAACTGGAGGGTGAAGAGAAAGAAAGGGGTGGCTAATATGTCTGTAAAACCCAGAGGAGCAAAATATTTTTAGGATGCAATTTGCTGAATGGAAGAGGGAAAGAAAGACTCTGAATTTCCTTTGGCAAATGAAAGAAGCTTCATCTGCCCCATTTTGCAGGAGTGCGCAGGGAGATGGTATCCTTCTCATTCCTTATTCGGAGGCAGGTTGTAGCTGGTTTAATTGTTTTCACGGTCAGAGGTTTGTGTTTTCCTGGCAGCTCGCCCCAATGTATGATGAATGCTGCAGTAATGCTGGGTTTTCCTTGTGTTCCCTGTAGAACTGGATAGGGAGGTGCAAGGGAGGGGGCGGGGGGGGGTGTCTGCTCTGATTAGAGCTGCAGTGTATAGTTGGGGTCCAGGAGAGTGGTGAGGTGAACTTTATTGTGCCTTGTTTGTTTACTCTGAGCTGGTCTTGGTGCGAGGCGCTTCTCTGTGCACATAGAAACCGTTGTCTTTATTGACAGAAGCCCCAGAGGTAGGTCCTCATGTGACAGCAGTTCCTGGGATCTGGCAGGTCTGTAGCTTGCCCTGGTGCCTTCTTTAGCAATGAGATCCCATCTTGGATAATAACCCTTTCAGGGCATGTTCAAAAAAGCAACTGCATGACTCTAAGCTTGCAGGCATTTTTTATTTGTCAGCAATTGTCTTAGCTTGCAAAGGTGGCAGTGGTTATTTCTGCTTCTCTCTAATCTGTTCCTACAGGGTTGAATGAATCAACGGTGTGATTTGTCACTTTTTTCTTTTTCTTTTTTTTGCTCTGTCCCCAGCAGCCCCAAATCAAAGCAGGAGGTGATGGTCCGTCCCCCTACAGTGATGTCCCCATCTGGCAACCCCCAGCTGGATTCCAAATTTTCCAACCAGGGAAAACAAGGGGGCTCTACCAGCCAATCCCAGCCCTCTCCCTGTGACCCCAAAAGTGGAGGTCACCCCCCCAAAGTGCTCCCTGGCCCAGGTGGGAGCATGGGGCTGAAGAACGGGGCTGGAAATGGTGCCAAGGGGAAGGGGAAGAGAGAGAGGAGCATTTCGGCAGATTCCTTTGAACAGAGGGAAGCTGGGACTCCTAATGATGACCCTGAAATCAAAGGTATGTTTGCTAGGATTTGTGCGCAAGTGTAGCCAATTAGTCTGAGTCCTCTGTGAGATGGAGAATTGCTATGCAAGTGTTAGCGAAACATTTATTTGTCTGGGGTTCTGTAAGTTCCAGCTAGTGAAGTCTAAAGGTCTTGAGAGCAGGTGAAGAGGAGAGGTTGTCATAGCTGGTATCGGTAAATGTCCCGTTCATGCTCAGTTAAAGTGCAGACCTGACTCTGGTGGGAAAGTTTCTTTGTAACTCTGAAACTTTCCCAGATGATTTGAAAGTATAAATGCAACCTGTTGGTTTCCTTTTGGCCTTTGGCCTTTCAGGAACTGCTCTGTTGTAACTGAGGTTTTAAACAATATGCAAGCCTGTTTTGTCAACACAGATACATAACCCATAGCACCCTGACTGGTAACACAAACCCGAGAGTTGGGATTTCTGTGTTCTGTTCCTGGCTCCAACATTGCCTCTGTGAGGCAGTACAAAACAGACTATATGTGCAGTTGTCCATCTTTCCTTTGTTGTCCATTTTACTAGGTCACCTGGCTAAGGTGGCTGAAGGAAGAAAAAAAAAAGTAAAGTTTTGCACAGGGTGTTCTCCTTGGGTGCAGACATATTTATATTTGTTCATTGTAGCGTGTCATTTTCCTGCTACTCTGTGTGGCCTCTAGAGAATTCAAAGGGATCAGCTCTTGGAACTGCCACTTGCCTTGGAAAGGGACAAGATGAGCTTTCTCCCAGTGGTGCCTGAAGGGCAGCATGGCATTAGAGGGAAGATGCATGGTGTAATAGAAGAAATGCCTTTAGTAGTGCTTGAGAGAGAAATGGGAAATTTCAGAGAAGGAAAATCTCTGATCAGTTTCCAGAAATGGTTTCCAAAGAGCTCCCAAGGTAGAGATTCCTCTCTTTTCTTCTTTCTCCCTTTCCAGACTGCAATTCTGCTGATCATGTGAAATCCCAGGAGTCTCAGCACACACCACACTCCATGACTTCTTCAAACGCTTCAGCCCCAAGGTCTTCCACACCTTCCCATGGCCTGACTGCTGCTTTGGAGCCAGCAAGTGGGCAGAAGACTCCATCCAAAGTGGTTTACGTCTTTTCTACTGAGATGGCCAACAAGTAGGTAGATGCTTGAATGTCTTCAGGGAGCAGGGCTTATATTTGTGCTTCCTTTTTAAAAGATGCTCAAGTGCACTTTCTCCCATCAAGTGTGTTCTTGTAGCAAAAAGTCGTTACTTGTTTTGGGGATGCTGAAGGGGCTGGAGTGGAGAATGTCACTACCTCTTGCCCTCTGAGAAGTGATTATTTATTCCTCCAAGGTATGTGTGTTGGATGTTTTTGGGTTTGGTTTTGGTTTTTTTGGTTGGTTTTTTTTTTGCAAATGCTGGTAGATGCTGTTTTGCAATCCATGCAGTGAGTAGCAGCCAGGATGGCTTAAACTGAGACATGAACCCTGAATGCTGATGAGCTTGTAGGTGTAAGCATTTTTCTTTTGCTACTCATCTAGAGTGAAATATGTGTGGTTAAGACTTTCTCCCTTCTGCCAGCTGAAGGATAGAAGGGAGGGTTGTTAAGAAAAATTGGTTCGTAGCTTCAACTGGATATGTGCGTCTGTCTGTCTTTGCAGGGCTGCAGAAGCTGTGCTGAAAGGACAGGTGGAAACCATCGTGTCCTTTCATATCCAGAACATCTCAAACAGCAAGGCGGAACGAAACACTGTACCCTTGGTAGGGAATACCTGCATGAGGGTGGGTAAATGTGCTTGTTTGTGTGTGGTTCAGAGAGATGGGTGATTATTTACAGCCTGAAATAAGTTTTAGGGTGGAAAAGAGAAAGACAGTTGTTGTTCTAGCCTTCTGCAAATGTCTTGGATCATCCAAAGAAGAGCTTAAGTCTTGCAACGTTTGGGTAGTGTATTTCCAACCTATGGCTCATGCAGAGCTAGCACAGAAGCAAGGGGTACCTGCTGTAATGCTTAAGCAAAATAGGTTTCTGCATGGCCAAGATGCTGCTCTGTAATCGCTGCATGAGGGCTACCCTTCCTTGCAAAGTGTGGGCTGATGGGGTTGAGACAGGACGTTTCATTTGCACTGCTGCTTGTTTGACATGGCTGTAAGAAAAGTGAGTGATTAGTGTGTGGCTTTCTCTTGCAGAACCCCCAGATCACTGCCCTTCGGACTGAACCCAAGCCCCTGCCGCAGCCCCAGCCCCCCACTGCCCAGGATCAGAACCCTCCCCAGAACGCTAAAATGCAGCCGACTCCACCCGTGTCAGCGCCAGTATCCAAATCCACTGGCCCCCCATGTCCCATAGATCAGGACAGTCCCGGCGTGGAAAGCAAAGTCATGTCTGTGGGCAGCCCTGCCAACTCTACCCCATTGCAGACAGAAGGATTTGGGCAGAGTTCGACCCCCAATAATCGAGCAGTTAGCCCAGTTTCCCAAGGTAGCAATAGCTCTGCTGCAGACCCCAAAGGTCCTCCCCAGCAGGTGTCTGGTGGGGACCCATCCAATTTGGGTGAGAATCCAGATGGACTGTCACAGGAGCAGCTGGAGCATCGAGAGCGCTCATTGCAGACCCTGAGAGACATACAGCGCATGCTCTTCCCTGATGAGAAAGAGTTTGCGGGAGGGCAAAGTGGGGGGCCACCCTCAAATGCTGGGGTGCTGGATGGTCCCCAAAAGAAACCTGAAGGGCCAATACAGGCCATGATGGCTCAATCCCAAAGTTTAGGCAAAGGGTCAGGGTCTCGGACAGATGGAGGGGCTCCATTTGGCCCTCAAGGACACAGGGACATGCCTTTTTCCCCAGATGAAATGGGGCCACCACCAATGAACTCTCAGTCAGGACCCATAGGCCCAGACCACCTGGACCACATGACTCCTGAGCAGGTGGCCTGGCTCAAGCTGCAGCAGGAGTTTTACGAGGAGAAGAGAAGAAAGCAAGAGCAGGTGGTTGTGCAGCAGTGTTCACTGCAGGACATGATGGTCCATCAGCACGGGCCTCGTGGGGTGGTCCGAGGCCCTCCCCCTCCCTACCAGATGACCCCTGGGGAGGGCTGGGGGCCTGGGGGTCCAGAGCCCTTCCCTGAAGGCATGAACATGTCGCATTCTCTGCCCCCCAGGGGCATGGCCCCTCATCCCAACATGCCTGGGAGCCAGATGCGCCTGCCTGGTTTTGCAGGAATGATGAACCCTGATATGGAGGGCCCCAGCGTCCCGAATCCTGCCTCCCGGCCTGGGCTTTCGGGAGTTAGTTGGCCAGATGATGTGCCAAAAATCCCAGATGGCCGAAACTTCCCTCCTGGCCAGGGTGTCTTCAGTGGCCCTGGCCGAGGGGAGCGGTTCCCCAATCCACAGGGCCTGCCCGAAGAGCTCTATCAGCAGCAGCTGGCTGAGAAACAGATGGGCCTCCCTCCTGGCCTGAACATGGAAGGCATCAGGCCTGGCATGGAGATAAACAGAATGATGCCCTCCCAGAGACACATGGAGCCTGGGAACAACCCCATCTTCCCTCGCATGCCAGTGGAAGGGCCGATGAGCCCCTCCAGGGGGGACTTCCCGAAAGGAATACCCCCACAAATAGCCTCTAGCAGAGAGCTGGAGTTTGGGATGGGCCCTGGCAGCATGAAGGGGGACATGGGCATGAATGTCAGCATGGGCTCCAACCCACCCCTGGTCCCTCAGAAGCTGAGGGACGCAGGAGTTGGGCCGGAAGAGATGATGAAACTGCGCCCCGGTGTCTCGGAGATGCTCTCCTCTCAGCAGAAAATGGTGCCGCTGCCATTTGGGGAGCATCCGCAGCAAGAGTATGGCATGGGTCCCAGGCCTTTCCTTCCCATGTCTCAGGGCCCAGGAGTCGGTCTCCGAAATCTCAGAGAACAGATTGGGCCTGACCAAAGGACTAACAACCGGCTCAGCCACATGCCGCCACTACCTCTCAATCCCACCAGTAACCCTAATAGCCTCAACACAGCTCCCCCTGCGCAGCGCAGCCTCGGCCGCAAGCCCTTGGATATCTCTGCAGCTGGTCAGGTGCATTCGCCAGGGATCAACCCCCTGAAATCCCCCACGATGCGCCAGGTCCAGTCTCCCATGATGGGGTCTCCCTCGGGGAACCTCAAGTCCCCTCAGACGCCCTCCCAGCTGGCAGGAATGCTTGCGGGCCCCACTGCCGCAGCTGCTGCTGCCTCCATTAAGTCTCCCCCTGTCTTGGGGTCTGCTGCTGCTTCTCCTGTCCACCTCAAGTCTCCGTCTCTCCCCGCACCTTCTCCCGGATGGACTTCATCTCCAAAGCCTCCTTTGCAGAGCCCTGGGATTCCCCCGAACCACAAGGCATCTCTCACCATGTCTTCTCCAGCCATGCTGGGGAACGTGGAGTCGGGTGAGTGCCGCCTCTGCTAGCCACATTTGGCTCTTTGGTTTGCATCGCATTACCCTGAGGTGTGCAGCAAGGAGAGGGAGGAGGTTTCTTGCAGAGTGGCAGAAGCTAGACAGCGCTTTGCCTGTGTGAGGGAGGCTGTGCCGAGGGTCTGGTGGGTGGCTATGCGAGTGGAGCACAAGCGCTTTTCTTCTTCCCGCTGTATTTGTGGGTTTGCACCACGCCTCCCATGTGTCAAGATGAGGGCTGGTCACTCAGAGGACATGAAAGTAAAAGGGTGGGGTCAAGAGGTGTGAAAAGATGTGGGGTGTTGATGGGAGAGATATCTCCTCAGAGGGGTTTTTGGCTGTTCTGCCATAGGTCCTGGTGATTGTAGCTTTGTGGAGAAGATCCTGCTGATGTTATGGAAACGCTTTGAGATAAAAGGCTCCTACAAAGACATACTGAGCATAGATAGCCAGTTCTGTATCTGGGTATGGTTCAGGCATGGTTAGTGCTTGATAGGTTTACCGCCACGGGCAGGGAGGAGTGCTAACATTTGTTCAGGCCTCAACCATTTTGGAGAGAGCTAAACACCACCGTATGTAGCGTTCAGTAGCGTGCTGGAGCTGTGCCGTGGCTGGGACCCCGGGGTGCAGATGCTGGCACTGCCCTCTCTGCTCCCGAACGTCTCCGGGCTGTTGGTGGCACGCCTCCGCCCTCTCCTTCCTGCTCCCAAAGCCTCCCGGAGCTCGCCCCGCAGCACGTTCGCCCCTCTGTCCCCGGGAAGGTCTCCTGGCCGGCAGAGGAGCCGTTTGCCCACGTTGCCCTCTAGTGCTGCTGCGGGAAACAGCGCGGTGGCCGGGACGTGCCTGCCGGGGCCGGGGGACCGGCGGTGGCGGGGAGGGTAGCACCTCACACCAGCTGCCGGGATTGCTGGCCGGGTCTCTGTGCTCGGGGGGAGAGCCTGGATGTTGGTGTCCGTCGTGGCTGCTGAGGGCACGGCCTGAGCCCAAGTACCGACAAGTCAGAACCGATTGCTTTAGTCTGTGCTTAAGGTTGTGCTTAACGAATGCATTTACACGCAGCTCTTCCAAAGCATAAATGTTTTGGCATCGCAGGATTTTTGTATTCTCTATTCTCCTTTCCTTTTTCTGGGCGGGGGGGCTGAGGAATGAGCAGTCAATTTTCAGTGACAGTACAACTTCGGTTTAGCATCCTTCCTTCGCATGTGGTCTGGGTGGCATGAAATTCATCGGTGAAGAACAAAGGAGATTGGTAGTACGGTTCAGTTATTTCTAGTTTTGGGAGAGCAAAGGATGATGTTAAGCTGGAAAGCTGCCCATCAGAGAAAGACCTGGGGGTGCTGGTTGACAGCCGGCTGAATATGAGCCAGCAGTGTACCCAGGTGGGCAAGACAACCAACAGCATCCTGGCCTGTATCAGAAATAGTGTGGCCAGCAGGAGCAGGGAGGTGGTTGTTCCCCTGTACTCGGCACTGGTGAAGCCGCACCTCGAGTACTGTGTTCAGTTTTGGGCCCCTCACTACAGGAAAGACATTGAGGTGCTGGAGCGTGTCCGGAGAAGGGCAACAAAGCTGGTGACGGATCTGGAGCACAAGTCTTATGAGGAGCCGCTGAGGGAACTGGGGCTGTTTAGTCTAGAGAAAAGGAGGCTGAGGGGAGACCTTATCGCTCTCTACAACTACCTGAAGGGGGGTTGCTGGTCTCTTCTGTCAGGTGGCTGGAGATAGGACAAGAGGAAATGGCCTCAAGTTGCTGCAGGGGAGGTTTAGGTTGGATATTAGAAAAAATTTCTTTACTGAGAGGGTTGTCAGACATTGGAATAGGCTGCCCAGGGAAGTGGTTGAGTCACAATCCCTGGAGGTGTTCAAAAAGCGTGTAGACAAGGCACTCCAGAACATGGTTTAGTGGGCACGGATTATGGTTGGACTCAATGATCTTGAAGGTCTTTTCCAACCTAAATGATTCTATGATTCTAATAGGTGCAGAGAACACTTCCTTAACTGGAATGAGCAGTAAATATGTGTACATAAAACCTGAAATGAAACATAAACGGGGAGTTTTACTTGTAGCTGCATCAGCAGCTAGTCAGAAATCTGCTCGCATGTCTCAGCATAATATCTGCTACAGCTTTCGTTCTGCTGCCTGTGCCTTTTGTGCTTGTTTGCCTCCTAAAGAAAAAGGGAAAGGAGTTACAGTTGACATTTGGTGGGTGCAAGAACAATTAATTGACTATAGATTTTGATTTTTATGGCTAGACCTGGTACCTAAGTCTATCTTCAGTGTATGGAAGTTGAATAGTAGGATTTTCAGATTTACCTGATAATTCTTCATGTGGATTTGTAGAGGCTCAAGATAGTTCCAGTAGAAGTGCAGAATGAAGGATAACAAATGTTAACCATCTTAACCAATAGGCTTATTTTTCTGATTACCTTTCACTGGCATTGACTGCATTAGTCAGATGGTCTCTTGCAATAAAAGGGATTTCTAGTTTTTGAGCTTTCTAGGAGAAAAGGGTGAGATTTAAGGAGAAAAATAAGAAGGAAAAAAAATTAAAGTCTCTTTCTTTCTCTCTCTTTCTTTTTTTCCTAAGGTGGTCCACCTCCTTCCACAGTCAGCCAGTCTGCTCCTGTGACTCTCCCTGGAAATCTTCCCTCTAGCAGTCCTTACACAATGCCACCAGAGCCGACCCTCTCCCAGAATCCCCTCTCCATTATGATGTCCAGGATGTCCAAATTTGCCATGCCCAGCTCTACACCGCTCTATCATGATGCCATCAAAACTGTGGCCAGCTCAGATGATGACTCCCCTCCAGCACGTTCCCCAAACTTGCCACCTATGAACAGTGTACCAGGTAAGAAACTCAAAGAAATATAAACCCAAACTATTAGGCAATACAGTGAGGGTGATTTTTATGGAAGCTTTATCAAATGAAGATGGTGAGAGAGAAAAACCTTGAAGAATGTATAGCCATGGGTTGTTTTTGAGGAAGACAGTCACAATTCTCTGAAATGAGGGGATAGAAATTCTTGCAACCAGTTTTTTCTGTCCAGAAGGTGTCTAATCTGGAAAACCCTTATGTATGGGAGAGATTTCCACTCAGGCAGACTGGAATTACTTGTGTGAGTGAAGGCTGCTCATGAGAATAAGGGTCAGACCTACAACGTGTTATCCAGAGGAAACCATTCTTCCCCTGTCTTAAGGCAGTGTCATAGAAGCTTCACAGGTTGTTTGGTTTTTTTGTGTTTTTTTTGTTTTTTTTTTTTTTTTTAGACTAAATCCTCTGGTCTTTTCCTGGGTTTTGTGGATTGCCTTTGTTAAAGAAGAGATGTTAGAGTGCTTTCTCAAAACATACATCTTTTCATATAGGAAATGTGTAATGGCAGGCAACCTCAGCTAGGACTGAAGGAAAGTGTCCTGGTCTCTACCTGAGAGAGTTAAAGGAAAAGTAAAATAAAAAAATATCCTTTTGGGCTGTCTTGTGGATGAGCATGTTTATCTAAGTCCAATGCCTGCTGATAGCTTAATGTTTGTGGGTACATATTTAATACAACAGTAGGCTGTAGCCCCTCTACCCAATTGAATTAACATAGTTGAAAGAGGGGATGAGTGGATGTTTCATGACAGTGGCAATTGGTAATGAATTCTCCATGAGTTTACCTGTAGCTTTGCTGTCTGTTTCACGCAGTAATGATCAGAGTGGCTGAATATACCTCGGGAAGCTGGCTAATTGAGTAAGTTAATGATGACAGCTCATTAACCTCATTGATCGCTGCCTCCTAGTCTTAGGAGGGTTACCTGATTTATCGCCTCTTGCGTTTTGAAAGGAGATTCAGTCACTTCCCAGTGGACAAGTGTCCATATGCTGATAATCTGTCACAGACGTGTTTGTTACTGCCTGTGTCATCTAGACTGCCAGAAAAGTAGGAAAGGTGTGGGTTGGACTGAGATCCTACTTAGAGACCAGGCTTTAGTCACTTTTTGATAGGGCAGTGACAAGCCTAGGGAGGCAGCTGTGCAGGTGGCATCCATTTTCTGATTAAAATAACATTTTCCAGAGCCACTACTGAAGTTTTTTTTACTAGCACGAAATTTTTTGTGTGTGTGTGCGGACTTCGTAACCTGCAGAATGCTCTCTGATAGCTTTATTATTATTGGCTGTTATCTAAATGTGATTCCTTATTTCTTCCCTAGGAATGGGCATTAATTCTCAGAATCCTCGAATTTCAGGTCCAAACCCAGTGGGTCCAATGCCAACCCTTAGCCCAATGGGAATGACCCAGCCTCTTTCCCATAACAACCAGATGCCCTCTCCAAATGCTATGGGACCCAATATACCTCCTCATGGGGTCCCCGTGGGACCCGGCCTGATGTCACACAACCCAATGATGGGGCATGGTTCCCAGGAGTCTCCAATGGTACCTCAAGGACGCCTGGGCTTCCCACAGGCGTTCCCTCCCGTACAGTCCCCTCCGCAGCAGGTGCCATTTCCACACAACGGGCCCAGCGGTGGACAAGGCAACTTCCCAGCAGGAATGGGCTTCCACGGAGAAGGACCTCTGGGGCGTCCTACCAACCTGCCCCAAAGTTCGACAGATCCAGCACTTTGCAAGACTGGAGGCCCTGGCGGTCCAGACTCCTTCACTGTTCTTGGAAACAATATGCCTTCGGTTTTCACTGATCCAGAGCTGCAGGAGGTGATCCGTCCTGGAGCCACAGGAATACCTGAGTTTGACCTGTCCAGGATTATCCCATCGGAGAAGCCTAGCCAGACACTACAGTATTTCCCTCGTGGGGAGGTGCCAGGCCGCAAGCAGCCGCAGGGTCCTGGGCCTGGGTTCTCCCACATGCAGGGGATGATAGGAGAGCAGACCCCAAGGATGGGACTAACATTGCCTGGCATGGGGGGCCCCGGGCCGGTGGGAACTCCGGATATCCCTCTTGGGACGGCTCCATCCATGCCAGGTCATAACCCGATGAGACCACCTGCCTTCCTGCAGCAAGGCATGATGGGGCCGCACCACCGCATGATGTCACCAGCACAAACGGCGATGCCTGGCCAGCCCGCGCTAATGAGTAACCCCGTGGCCGCCGTGGGCATGATCCCAGGCAAGGACCGAGCCCCTGCAGGGCTGTACAGCCACCCGGGCCCTGTAGGGTCACCTGGTATGATGATGTCAATGCAGGGCATGATGGGACCCCAACAAAACATCATGATTCCCCCCCAGATGAGGCCCCGAGGTATGGCTGCTGATGTTGGCATGGGAGGATTTAGCCAAGGCCCTGGAAACCCAGGGAACATGATGTTTTAAGCTGCTACCATAAGACTGGATGTTCTGATCCTTGTCAAGATGAGATTCCAAGTCCTGAGGGCTTTTTTGGGAGCTTCAGGAGTACAGTTTGGCCATGCAATAGGTGAAAAGAGACCAGAGGACGCTTTGGGAAATCTCGAATGTATGGAATTACCTGAAAAAAAAAATACTCATTTTAACAGGTTGTTTTTTTTTTTAAGATTTATTTTTTAAAAATTATTTTTGTGGACTTGGGTATCCTGTGACGGCACCTGCTTTGAGAATCTGTAGCTGTATTTTGAGAATTGCCATTTGTCACAAGTTGCACCATTCTCTGTATGTTTACGTCCTTTGGACTGGCTTCTCCCAGGACTCTTGGTTATTTTTGGGGTTTTTTGTGTACTGTACTATATTGTAAAAGGGATTTTAGCAGAGACTTTAGTCTTTGGGGTGAGAGGAGAATGGGATTCTAGGCTGTTTACTTTAGGTGGAGAATCCATCTTCAGAACTTCGGACTATTTTCCTTCAACTCCAATGTATAGAAAAACCAAACTACGACCTCAGAGCAGAGTATTAATGAAAAGCACAAAAAGGAACTTAAGTTCAGTGAGGGGAATCTTTTAAAAGAAATAAATAATAAGTTAAGGACATATTTTTCAAATTATGGCGTGCTGTCCAGCACCTTCTGTCTCTCCCTCCCACTCTTTATTAAATAGGCTTCTCTCTCTCTCTCTCTTTCTCCGTCCCCCTTCTGTCTTCTCCTATGGCAGCTGCAATACATTGTGTTATTTTGGGGAGTAAATCTAGGAGAGCCTCTCCTCACGTGGGGACTCTTCCCACTTTTAGGAAGGGGCTGGACTTGGACACTGTTACATGCTACAGTAGTCTCTCTCACTGTTTCCTATTCTCCTTTTCTTAGAAACCCCAAGTGATTTTATTAATGTGGGAGTGGAACAGACACTAAAAGTTACCCAGGAATTTTTTTGTGTTTTTTTTTTTTTCTCCCCAGCGTAAAACGTTCTGTGTAACCTCCATTAAATTTGGTACAAAACCACTCGCCAGGGCTGTGGTGTCAGAAAAATAAAATATATTGTTTCTTACAAAAATGAACTGTCGTCTTTATCCAGTCCTGTGTTTCTATGTACATCAGACAGCTGGCCAGATGACTTTTGCTCTTCCACATGATCACAGCCAGCCTAGAGGCCAGATGGGGGTAAGCTTTGGCAGCTCCTAAAAGTCTGGTCTATAGGCAGCTGCATGCTTCTTGCAAGGCACTTCTGTTTGCTTAATCCTGAACTGAGCTTGTTTTTCCTCGAGTGAGGTCTTATTTCAGAATGTCCCAGGGATGATAGTTACAGTCTTTCTTCCTCAATTTGTTGAGGGTCAAGGAATAGATGAAACTTGTCTCTGTCACGTCTTTCTGGTGATTGCAGCAGTACAAGGTACGTGGTTTTAAGCTTTCCCTAAGCAGCGGTGTCTGTCTGCTGAGCGCCAGCGTCCAGTGCTGTGTGGGGCCCTGGGGTTGTGTGTCCCCCTGGGGGCTTTGGATTGGGTAGGGTCTCTGACTGCCAGCGCTCAGAGGCTGAGATAGTGGGGAAAAGATGAACTTAAATAAAGGTAAGAGAGAAATCGTCAGTGAGCAGATTTTTATCACGACAACCCTGCTGGGTAAATTGTTGCTTTGCTGCAGTTTTCATCGATTGCTTCCTAATCCCCTGTCTTTTCAAACTTGCCTTTTGAGAGAATTTCAGCAAGAAGGTTTTATGGTTTTGTCTATGAGGAGTGAAAGACTGGATGCTGAAACACAGATTAGGAGTTGAGCCCCGCTCCTGGAGAAGACCGGGATGAACCAGATGTGGATCTGTAGGGCAGGGTGTGGGCTCTGTGGCTGTCTGCTTTCTGGTCCCCCAGCACTGTATATGGAGTGTGTTATCTCTGTTCTTCCTTCCACTTACTGTTACTTGAGATTATTTCAATGAGCAGTTTCCTCAAAGGGCTGGCTATTAGTGTGAAACTTCATGTGGAGAATGAGTATCTTTAATATGCTTGTGGTGAGAGTTTTTCAGAGTTAACTGGTCCTTAACAGGTGGATAAAGAATTGCTGTCGGTGGCTGGCTTACCAAAGAAGTTTCATTGGTAGTGTTACAAAATGAGTGAAGCCATGCACTGTTGGAGGCACGCAAGCCTCAGAGCCTTCTGTTGCCTGCTTCCAAATTCACCTTTGTGCTGTCATGCAAATTTACAATGATTTTGGGTGAGAATTACTCTTTTGACAAAGTGTAGGATGTATGTTGTGGTGCTTCCCTCTAACAAGACAAGCAGCATGCCTGAAGCACGGGCTTGTCAAGATTTTGGAAAGAGCTGACAATGACACAGTATGTGTTATTTCTGTAGAGCGGAGTTACCTCTTCTTTAAATGATTGCAGAGCTCCCTTTTGAGGATCTTGCATGGGAATTGTCACAGTGCAACCTTTTTAAGTGTTGCCACTTCTGCCATGACTCCTGACTGTTTTTACCATGTTGAACAAAGCAAGCTTCTTTACTGACAAAGAAATAACCTGGAGGGTTTGGGGCTTTTTTTTTTTTTTTTATTAACATCCTTTCTCAGTGCCTTCTATGCCTGTTGAGGTTATTTTGAATAGTAAAGGATTTCAGGTGACTGCAACTTATTCTAGAAAAATTAGCATAGGGGATTCACTGTTTCAAAGCCACTTGGTAGTGAAAGGATACATTTTAAAGATGCTGGATAATTAAAGTTCCTTCTGTGTCTGTCTAACTGAAGATGCTGGCATTTGGTATCTTAACAAGATTTTTCCTACAGAAAATGCAGAAGATGTGGATTCTCCTGTGTCCATGTAGGTGCACTTAACCTCAGTGACGTTGCCTGGTTTGCAGCAGCTGATGGCCAAGGGATGCTAATGCCTTGGCTGGCTCTGGTCAGAGAAATGACTCAATAGATGTAGGCCGAACTTCTTTGTTTTGCTCTGATTCTACTTCTCCCCTTTTTGCTTTGCAATGAAAAAGCTTTCTAGCTGCCAGCTTTGCAAATTCACCTTGGGATCTCTAAGTCAGGCTCTGTTCTTTCCTGCTTATTTATAATCAATAGTAACTGTGACTCAGCTCTGGTAGTCATGGTGCAGTTGAAGATGGAAAGTGGGGTTGCCATTTTTAGTTTTCTTCCCCTCCCCCTCTTTTTTTTTTTTTTTTAAACCTTCAAATCATCCTCCTCCACCTTTGTTTGAAAGAATGAAATAGACTTTATTCATACATGCTTGGCTGCTCTTCCTCTCTAGTAACATGGGAGGAAACAGTCTGCTGTTCAAATTATCTCATCCCAGATGGCTGCGCAGCCGGAGTGCGGAGAGACTTAAAAGGTAAACCCAGCAGATGGTGAACTTCTGAAACGCAAAGTAATGCGCCTGCTAAATCAAAAGTTTAAAATATTTGAAATCTGTTTGTTTTAAAGTAGTAGACTGTTGCAAACAGGTCATCTGTGAAGTACACTGACAGTTTTAAGCACTGTCCAAATAAACTGAAGCTTTGTACCTGTATCATGGGCTAGCTAATCTACCAAAGAACATGACAAGCCAGCCTTATGAGTTTAGTCCTGACACTTCCTAGTGGTATCTGATGGGTAACATTTCAGAAGACAGATCAGTATGTGGAGATCTAATCTGCATCAGTCTTGGTTGGGATTTGAATGCTGGTGGTGCTTCTGGTACAATCCATGTATCCTGACTTAGAGTAGATGTGGGTGCCTGACTCTTCCTGAGGGTAAGTGTGAATCCTAAACACACTTCCTAGACTGTTGGAACACAGCATGTGTTGTGCCAGTGTTGGGACTATTACAATTATGGTAGACATGGCTTAATTTTGTGGTGCTTGGTATGCTGACCATCTACTGTGCTGGTTTTCATTCTGGTGGCAGAAAAGGCCATGTTTCATTGGTTGTGCTCTTCTGCACTCATGATGGTGAATGCTTTCCTCGTGCAGCCTTGGCAGGCTGTTGGCTGAAACCTGTTCTCTATTTTGATACTTCTCGAGCAGAAATGATCTATGTTTGATATAGGCCTGTATTTAGTAGAGCGCACTTCACTCTATCGATTGGTAGTAATTCTTAACCTAAAAAAGGTAAGTTGTCTTGCATATCTGCTGTGTCATCTTTCTGGCAAGGTGGCCTTTAATGGGAAGATCTTTCAGTTTTTAGCCAGTCCATGTAGTTTCCAGTCGTTTCTGTTAATGCTGTTTGTTGTGGTAGATATGTAACACCTAGCTTTATCATGCTCTTTCCTGATAATGCGCTTTAACTTTAAGCAGAGTGTTCTTCAGGCCTTAAAAAGACACAGACTGCTAGCTTTATGATGTTGGGTTTATTGACAAATATACCAAGCTCACTATCCTCTTGATCTCCTTTTGATTTTCAACCAGCAAACCTTTTGTGCTGAGAGATGTAGGTCTTCATGACTCATTACGTGCTCAGGTTTTAAGCTTACGATTGATTTTGTTTGAGTCGGAGCATGAGGCAGGAAAGAAAAGTGATGCTGTTTTGTCTGGGATACTAGAAACTTTAAAAGATGTTTTACATGAGGAGAAAACAAAACCCTAAACTTGACATCTTTCCTGCCAATTATGTACTATACTAACATTGCCTTAAATGAAACATACTATACAAGGATAGGTTTGCAATGCAAAATGGAGGAAAAAAAAAAGTCTTTTAGGCTTAAGTTGAGCAACCTGCGTTGACTACATTGGACTACAATAGCAAGGGAGGCAGACTAATTTGGGTTAGCAGCTCCAGCTCAAGTTTGAGGCAACTTGAGATTGAACTTGTTAGCTGCTCATGTCAGCAGTTCTCATATTAACAGCCCAGGGTAAGAAAGTTTTTGGGTTTCTTTTTCTGTCCCCTGGGATTTTTTGTCTTTCCCATTTCTTGCAAAGAGCCAGCCTATTCATGTAAATGCACTGGTTCCTTGGGAAGTTTTTGATTTCTGGAAATTTTTATTCCATGTTTTCAGAAATGCCACAGCTCTTCCATGCTGTGTTTGCAGTTCAGCACTTCCCACTTACCTGTGTCCTTTAGTCTTAAAACTCTTCCACTGCCCCACCAATCCTCTTCTGCAATCATTATTTACACTGGTTGAGGTCAGAAATAACTCCTCCTTCATACTGTGGGCCACAACTACCATGGAGTCGCTCAGTGGGATGAGACCAATGGATGGCCCAACCACTTCTGCACCAAGGGGGAATGGTAAAGCCGGAGCGGGGCACAGAGGGCACTGCAGAAGCCCTGTAAGAGACAATTATGAAGTAACCTGTTCCCAGGGGAGGCTTCTTCCTAGCCACTGCTAAGAAGCTGGCCTGTTTTTCTGAGGTCTTCTGCTGTTACTGAATGTATGTTACCCTGCTTAGTGTGATATGATTATTTTAATGGTGTGAATGCAGTGCCCTTTAACAATCTTAGGTGCACTAGGACAGCTCATGCTGCCAAGTTCTGTGGGTCTTGACCGTGTTGCAATTTTTAACCTGGTTGCTGGTCAGTTTTGCTGGGAGATGCTCCTAGCTCTTGTTTAGGAGAAGGTATGTGAATTCCCCCTTTGTCTACTGGTATGGCCAGAGATTCCGATACTGTTCCCTGATACCCCTTTCCTAAGCAGTCCATGCCTCACAAATAACTTGCAATCGTATGCCTAATGTTTCCATTGCTGTTCTCCAAATACTTTACACTGTGCGTTGAGAGCTTGATTAGAGCAGAACATGCTGTTCTTAAGCAAGGGTAGGCCATTGATTTTTATATAATGGCATTATGGTTTTAGGCTGTATAAAAACTTGATGGAAAATAACAATGGTTTGTTTGCTTTTTTGACAGCTTCTAATAGCAGTGCAGTGAGACCTCCAGCAATGTATTTAGTATTCAAATCATTCTGTTCACTGTGCATGGTGTCAACATGTAATTGTGGTGGGGGCAGGCTAATGAAAGAGTAGAGGTAAATCCAGCCCACGCTTCTCAGAGAGAAGGTACTGCAGTGCCTCCAGTCACATATCTGTCAATGACTTACATTAACATCACTGCAGTCTGTTTTCACTAAGTGATAAGGGGTAATGCAGAACCAAAACTGCAGGGCCATTTTAATAAGTGGTCCCCCTACTTTAGCCTTTACATATCCCAAAGAAAGGTCAGGATCCAAGTTTTATTTACTGATTGAAAAATGGGGATTTTGGCAACAATAGTGATCCTGAGTACTGTCTTACAGGAAAAAGTGTCATCATCTCAGCTAGAAGTACTTCTGTTCGCTATGCTGTGGTGTATTCCTGTTTCAGCAAGTACAAAACAGATGCAACGCTGCCCAGCGTAGCAGCTCCCCAGACTTCCTTTTTTAAAGCACATTAAGCAGAGTTCACTAAGAGTGCATGTTCTTGTACTTGGCCCACTGTGGTTGTTTTGCATGTTCACAGCAGAATTTCCATAATTACAGGAGTGCAGTGAAGAGGTTTGGAGGCTTTCTGTCCCTTTGGAGAGGTTTTGTGTGTACAGAAATGCCCTCAAGAAGATGGGGTAGCTAAATGCTATGCAATTTGGGAGGTTCATCTCTCTGCAGAGCAACCCTCCAACATGACAAAAGAAAGGGAGAGGCATAGCAGCTTCTGCAGTTCACCATACATAAAAGCAATTGTTATGTCAAAGCTCTCAAGTCTGGTAGCACAGAGGAAGCTTGGGCTTCATCCCATAGTCCCAGCATATGAGGAACAGGTATGTTTTCTCTCATATTCCTGAAGCAGCAGGGCAATTTAAAAAGGTCTCTTCTCTCCCTTGCCATTTTCAGCCTCTCTGTGCTTTTGTGTGGCTACCTCAGAAGTGAACTTGAGCCATTCTGTTACACAGCTTCTTTCATCTTGCTGCTAACACTGAAAAGTGACACTGTGCCACCCTGTGTCTGTTAGGAAAAAGTCCCCTCATCTAAAATACCTTTAGAATATGGAAGGCTGGCAGGAATATAAAGAAAAATAGTCAAAGATTGTGACAATAAACTAATTTTAATTTAAGACAACTTAATCATGAGGCAGTTTGCTGATTCTCCTCCATTTGTGAGCACAGGTTATTGTACTCCTCTGGACTGACTGAGTACTGTGAAAGAACTTCTAGAAATTCTTTGAGTGGGCAGAGACCTGCTCTACATCCTTTCACCACTTGCTCCTGCAGAGGCAAAGAGACAAAATCACAGATCTCGTGCATTGCCAAAGCCCTTTTTTGCTGATACTGATGCATTCTGTGGCAGGAAAATATGCTAGTCGAGGCAAAGACAGAGAGGCAGAGGTTCAAAGTCTTTGCCTAAACTCACACTAGATCAATAGCCAGATATCTTGGCTACCATGGATGTGCTGTAGGTGTCTTACTCTGTTATCTGGCTTGATGGCATGCTCGGAACAAGTCTTCCTTCACAGCTCTACATGCATGCATGCCAAAACCAAAAGCCCAGGATTTGTACAAGGGGCTTACCTCTCCATGGTAAGACATGCGAACAAACCACTCTTTGGACTGCCGGTGCTCATACAGTTCCAGGGTCACATCTGCAGCATAAGGTGGCCACTTGTGATCAAAGGTGCCCAGTGCCACCAGGACAGGAATAAGGGTAACGTCATGAGAAGCATAGAGAATGAGTTTTCTGATAAAAAGGGAAAAAAACCCCAAACCTAAAATGTTGGCTGTGCTCCTCCACAGATAGCCAGTAGCACTCATGCTTTTTCTAGCAGAGAAGCACTCATTCTCTTTGCCCCACACATTCAACATCTTTCTGAACCAGCTTTTCACACTAACAGCAAGCCAGAATTTGTAACAATTAGAGATCTGCCCTGTACCTGGCCTTTTCAGCTGGAGATGAGGGATCTACTGCTTCTGTAATGTTCTTCTGTAAGGTATAGAAAAGGAGACCAACACTCATCTGAAGAACTTCTCTATAAAAGAAGCAGAAATAAATCTACTAGGTTTTAAACTTTCAAATTAAATAATTTGGAACAAACACCTGGGAACCTGCATTTCTCTTACAAATTGATAACATATATTGGGTGTAGCTAAGAACTATTAAATGTAATTCCTATGGTCACTTTTTATTTTGGCACTTGGCACTTGCATGGTCACCACAGATTTTAATGTGATTGCAGAATGTGTGTGTGTGGGTGTTAACAAGCAGTCTCATGAGGTATGGCCCACATAAAGGGAAATCTAGAAACTCCTTGATGTTTTCTATGCTATTTTGTTCCCTGTGTTGTGATTTTTGAATGCATGCTTTTCACCTAGGGAAGATGACTGCAGCTGACTGCAAAACAGCAACTGAAGTGATTGGGCCCTTTGGTGGGAAGGGGAGGGGTGGTATTTGAGAAGGTGGCGGCTATATTTAAAAATTAGTTTTTATCCCTGTATTGAACAAAGAGGAGACCTTTAGACAACTTATGGTGTGAAGAAACTCCCTCTACCTAACGAATGCATCCATGGAAATGGAGGATGAGTGTGACTGTGGCTCTCCTGGGTGTTGTGGGAGTGGGGGAAATCAGTCTTTCAGTACCTGAGATCCCTAACACAAGTTAAGGAAAAGGCTGAGGACAACTGCCCTAACAGAAAAGGCAGTCTTATACCACCACCTGAGAAGAGCTGGTGAATATGGCAGCTGCAAATGGATCTGAAAGGAAAACAGCTGCTAGGCTAGCAACTCAGCCACCTTTACAAATAATTGTGGAGGAGGCAATTAACTGCATGTAGCAGCAGATTCTTTTGCAAGTAGTTACATGTGTGCAGGGCCTGGCATCACCTTTTCCACTAGCACCAACACTTCTCAGCCCAGTTGTGCAGGTGCCATCCCTGGGATAAACTTCCCAGGTTGGAATTCAGATTGTAGTTGTGCATCTGCAAGGGCAGCCTCACCTGTGCAGCCTCAGGGTTCAGGCTAGAAGCATCTCCTATTCTTTTCTGCTTTTGCCTTTGACACAGGTTAACTTAAACAGGCGTGGCAACTGAGGCATTCATTGCCTACCTCAGTGGCTAACTCTCTCCATGACTGTCAGCAAAACAGGATGTAAGCCCACATCTTGGCCTCCTCAGTGTGGACTCCTTTTTCCTAGCTCATGTCCCTGACTCAAGGCACTGGACTGAGATGGCTAAAGCACAAACCTCATGAGGGAGCAGTAGCCTCTGGTGGGGGAATACAGCAGATCAGAAAGGACTTCTACCTGCTGCAGTAAGCTGGTGCAGCTCATACACCCTGAGTAAACCTAAGACAGCCCCTAAGGCTGGAGGCATGGGTACAGGTAATCACCTTGAACCATCTTCCAGAAGGAAAAGCAGTGAGTCAACAGATCGACGCTCAACTGTCTGCTGAAAGTTCTTCAGCACAGGACAGCTTGGCAAATTGTGCACCTGGAAGGAGAAGATGTAGCATAACAATAGGGTTTGTCCCTTTCTGAACACAGCCTGAAGACACATGGATGACTGCCTGTAGAAAACAGCTGTTCATGTAACAGCATTTGTGCTACAGTATTCTACTATGGTGTTCATGTGAGGAGTTCTAGGAGGTTTTAAATATACAGACTTGCTCTGTCCACCAAAACGATGGATGTTTCTTCTTGAGGATACATTTCTGTGTGAAGGGAGTATCATGCCTTGAGCTATTCAACTGACAGCCAGACCAATTACCATTAGCTCCAGCAAAAAAGAGGTACTAAGAGGGGTACAAATACGCCCAGCTCCCTCGCAGTAACAGAAGCAATCTGGCTCATGGGTAGTATGCTGGAACCCGGATTAAGATGACTCTCTTATGTGCTGGCTGCCAAAGGAGGATAAGCACTTTGTAATGGGGTAAGCAAGGCCCAACTGCTCTCTTAGCTGTACTTCATTACCCTTAAAAGAGATACTGGATTTCAAGGTAAGAACATAAATACTGGAGGTGAGTCTTCATCATTCCTAGAGCAAGGCTGACTCCACATCTTGTTTTTTAAAAAGGCCACGCTATTTCTGGATTGCACAGAAAGGTACTGGGGTATCCACTGGTATCAGTGGGTGTTGGCACTCCGTGATTTCCTCCATATGCATGGTAAAGGGATGTTTCTTTCTGTGACAGTGCAACGGAACCGCTCAGCTCACCTGCTCAGCAAGAATGTTATCAAGGAGGAGAAAAAAGTCCACAGACTTATCGCCTTCAATACCCATCTTCTCCTTAATAGTTTTCAAGTCGTCAGAGATACCTGGCTGTTGCAGAGCATTCTTCAACTTACGCCTGTCAGGGAATTAAGAAAACAACCCAAAAACTTTTCACACATCAGACTTTCTGTCTTTTGGTGTTTTTTTTTTTCATGACCCCAGCCCAGTGGTGTTGTCTTACATCATTGAGGGGTAGAAGAGATGCACCACAGGATACTGAGGGATTCTTGATATTGGGAGTCTAAGCTGCAGAGTGGACGGACGCTGTGTCTAGATGTCAAGGATCAGAGCTGGCTATCTGCACTTACAGAGGTGAGGGAAAAAAATTAAGATGAGGTGTGAACACCTCAGAACTGGTTCCCATAAGCAAGGGCTGTGTATCAGTTAACAGATCTGGTCATACTGGAACAGCACAAGTCTGTGTCTTCAGGGAGCAGCCATTACCTGCCTCATGAAAGAAAAAAGGGTAGAAACTTTGAACTGGTTGTTGTATGGTGTGGGAAAAGGGAAACACCTAGATACTCACTTGCAGCTTAAACTCACCTCTCACTTTGTTAGAAGCCATTTGTCTCTTTACACTGTTTAAAATTTTATTTTGAAAAGTTTAGCTGAGAATATCTATGCTGGCCATGTACTTCAAGCAAAATATTTTGCATAGGTTTTGTTTTCTCTGACCCTGATCTGTTGGGGAGGAGGTGGGAAAAGTTTTTTAAGCTTGCCTTTTATTTTTTTAGGAACAGCTCTAGTTTCTGTTTGAAATCAAATATGCTGGAAGTTCTAGGTTAGGTAGCCTGTAAGCTGAGGCAGTGCTGCTTACTGCAGCTTAAAAAAAATTCCACCTTGATGTGGTCACAAAATGTGCTCATTTGGTGGGCTGAGGGGGAGGGAGCAGAAGAACTTGCAGTTTACTCCCTTTTCGGACAGTTGATGTTACTAAAGGAGGCTGAATGTACGGCTTCTATGGGCTGTCACCTCACCACTGTCAAGAGCAATCCTTTGCCTGCAGAGTCAAGCATTATATAATGAGCTTTTGCAAGTGAATTCTGACAACTCTTGAATTTTGGACAAAAATATGCTAATGTATGATCCAACCAAACTGTAATACATTTGCCTCTCTTGTTCAGTTTCCACCCCATGCCCAACCTGGCACAGGCATTTAGAGTACTTGACTCTGCAAACATGAGTGTTCTTTCTATGTAGGATGTTCCTTATTTTGCTTCATTAGTCTTTGTTAAATGTGTCAAGGCTGAGTATATTTCGGTTTCTTCAAGGTATAAATGTGACAGGAATGTTGTAATAACCCCCAAACCAGAAACTGAATATAAAAAGGAGGCCCAATATGTTCACACTTGAAAGGCTTGTTAAGGGATGTAGATGACATTAATTCTGCCCTGCAGCAATGCCGCAGAATAGCTGTATATTAGCTAGTAATGAGTGTTTGCTAGACATGGACTAAATTAAATTGGTCTTTCAAGAAAAAGTTTCTATATTTTTTTTTTTTTCCGTGGGGAAGCGGCCCGGTGGGCGCTCCCTGCGGGCTGACTGACTGGCTGCAAGCGTACGGCTTCCCGGGAGGGAGCAAGCCGCCTGGGTTGGGGGGTTTTTTCCCCCCTTCCAACTTTTCCCCCCTGAAGGCACGCTTGGCGTCGGGGGTGGTGTGTTCGGGCGGAGGAGCCCGCCCCGGTGCTTATCGGTGGATGGAATCTAGTAGGGAGGGAAGAGCCTGCGAGGAGGGAGAGAGTCCCCGAGTTCCTCCCCATCTGGTTGCTTGCGCCCTCCTGTTAACAGCCCTTGATGAGGAAGGAAGTTTTGGGGGGGGAAGGAGGTTGCATTCGGCTCAAATCTCGTATGGGACCAGTCACCTGTGCGCAGCGCTTCGGTCTTTAGTTGGCCCGTGTGGATGCGGCATGAGCGGCGGGAGAAACTTCCTTCTTGGAGTTCCCTCCGGTTCACGTGTTAATGGCGACGTTTTGCTGAGGGAGGGCCCAGATCTGCTCCTTACCCCTGTAGCTTGTTTCTTTCCCCACCCGTACTTGGTCACCCCGTTTACCTCACCAGCAAAGGTTTGTAGTTGGGGCTAAATGTGGCAATGGCAATTTGTTTGTTGTTCTTGTTTAAGTGAGGGCTTTCTCCATCGTGTGTTTTCTAAACAAGGTCTTTTTCAGTTTGGATGCCCAGGTGCAGGCACCCTGGGAAGGGAGCAGTGGGCATTGACTGAGTCGTATCTGGTCTCTCATTCCCACCACAGCTTTGGGAGCTGACGCAGCGCTGGTATTGCTGGGCCGGGAGACGAGCTGCAGCAGTGAGGCAGGTGAAGGCATGGCCCCGCCACTTAGGTAACCTGATTTTACCTGGAGGGGCTCAGGGTTGTCTGTAACATTGGAGCTGCCTCTTGGCATCCCCTGGCAGCACTTGGCGAAGCTGTCCCAGGGCAAATGTGAACCCAGTGCCTGGAGGTGCACGTTCCACTCCTCGTCTCTTCAAACCGTTTCTTCTTGTTTCCTGGCAGCGATGTGGACCAGTGAGTCTGTACAAATTAACACTTCAATGCTATTCAGCATCCTTTTACCATGATAGCTAATAACTTTGACATATGTGAAAGCTAGAGAGCTGTGTATTCATGAAGCCTTTATTGGACATCATAAAGCAATCCTGTCTCCTTGGTTCCTACGAACCTTCTGGTTCAAGACTTGGTGGTGATGTCACTCTGGCATAAGTAATATTTTTATCAGGGAATAAGCAGTTTGCTTGTTCCTTAGACCACATCTGCTTGACTTGGACTTATTAGGGATTCCTGTGCGCCCCCTTGTCTGTCATCCTGCCTCCTTATATATGTTACAGGTTCCAGTACTTCTTTTCCTGTAGGTTTGGATCTCTACTTTACCCAGGACCTCTTTTATGCCCTCCCCCCCTTTCTTCCTACTTGGGCTGATGGTCCTTGGCGCCCTCCTTTTGCTGGTTACTGTTGTCCTCTGTCTTCCCCCCATTTCTCTTTACTCTTTCAAGGTGTCACCATTTTAAAACTCTCCAAGGAGATCAGGGGAAGTTGTACAGAAATTTGGGATGTTGATGGAAGCTGACAGTTATTCTACTGTCTGTTAAGATCAGTTCTTTAACTTGTCCATATACAATTGCAGACCTGACTACACTGTACTCACTATCTCCCTCTTTCCAATTTTCCCACTTGGAAGCGGGCGCTGTCTGTTGGGAGCTGGAGCGCTCCCTGAAACACTGGAACTGGTAGATCGTGGTCTTTGAAAGGTAGCGCACCAGAAAAATGCCATGAAGACTGGGCCAGAGAGGGTGTCTACAGTAAATGAGGTCTTCAGGAAACCTACCAAGTGGAGATTGCTGCAGTGAGGCTTTGGTGTCTCTGGGGCCTCATAAAATGCCTATGGTTTCTTACAAGGGTAAAGGAGTCCCTTCTGTGCTTCGTTGCTGCCCTACTCCAGAGCATTCCTTCCTCTGGGGAGGGTCTTGCCTCTGTTTCTAAGATTTTGATTTTCTGCTTGGTCTGAAACTTGGAGGTCTGTTGCCTGCCTGGACTCTGAACTTTCTGGTGTCTGTATGCTTCCTGCTGCGTTTCCTTTGGTCTATTGTCAATGGCACGCCATGGGTAATGCAGAGAGTCAACACCAGAAAGCCATACCTAACACTTAACACTAGGACTGACATCACAGTTGCTGGCCTGGCATCAGCAGCTCCCTACACCAGCAGAGACCCTTTGCTTGGCCCCATTGAATTCAAAAGCTCAGCACCTCCAGTGGGTGCTGGCAGCCTGCAGGCCGTCTGTGCTGCCTGGGGCCAGCTGGGACAGTGAGGATGAGATGACACAATGTCCCCATCCCCAGCATACTCTCCTATCCCATCTACCTCTCCCTGGTTCCCAGTTGTCCTGCTTTCCATTTTTTTCGCTGCAGGCGATTAAAGAAATCCTGGAAAGAGGGAGAAGATTGTTTCCCATGAGGTTGCCCCTGAAAGAAAGAGAAGCCCCGTGTGGATACACGTGGCACGGGTGCCATGCTGATATCTAGGCTGGGAAAGAAGCTCAGTGCAGGCCGAATGCACGTGCCTGTAAATGTCTGCTTGGCAGACCCTGGATCACCTGCTCCCAGGGGGACCCGCTGGAAACTCATCTATGACCCGTGTCACCAGAGCAGCTCTGTGCTTGTCAGACTTTAAAGGCAAGCATCCTCAAACCATTCTGGAATAGAAATACCATGTTACAGATAGAAATCTGTGGCAAAGACAACTGAATAATTTGCCTTGTGTTGGGAGGAAGACCTGGTGTAGAAGCCAAGTTCCTTGAGTGTCAATTCTGAGGATGCCTTCATCTGTCTCCTATGAGCAGTACCCAGCGTTGATTCAAGCAGAGCTCACAGGACCTCTGGTTGGAGGGGTGGTGGCAGGAGGCACCAGAGGAGTGACAGGCAGCTGGTGCATGCAGAGAGCAGAACAAGGGACAAGGGTGAAGGAGCAATAGGAGGGAGAGGATGGTGACTGGCACCAAGGCCAGAGGGAGGAGCTGCTGCAGGTGGTGAGAGGTTGACCCAGCCACCAGGGACATGCGGATGGGGGTGATTTGGTGATCTCCTCGTGTCTCTCAAAGCAGTGCTGTTCTGAAAGGGTTACCTCAGTTTTTTGAGCTTAGAGCATGTGAAACACAGAGGCATGACAAGAGCAGAGAGAGAAGGCAAAAATATTTCAGAAGCCAAGAAAATAACAAATGGAGGAATCAAGCCTAAATCTTGTGTTGTGGGAGGGTGAGGGGGCCAAGGATGCTGGTGGGAGAGGGAATAGGAAAACGTAGTTAAGGGGAGGGAGGAAGAGAGTGAGAGGTGATGCGATAGAAACGAACAGAGGTGGAACAAGGAAAGAGGCTCACAGTGAATTTATTTGAATTTCTATTCAAATGTTACCCTGGAAAAAAACCCCAGTTCCTGTGAAGTTGTGAAGACTGGGACCGCAGGGTCCCTCCTGGGGGGACTTGGCTGCTGCCAAGCAGCATTACTGTTGAGATATATTTTAGAATATACCATGCCACAGCAGGTGCGTGCAATTAGAGGAGAGCTC